TGCAAGAACAGCCAGTGTTCTTAACCGCTGAGCCATCTCTCCAGCCCAGATTTATTTTTATTTTATGAGTGTTTTGCCTGTATGTATGTATGTGCACCACATGTGTGCCTGGTGTCCACAGAGGCCAGAAGAGGGCACTGGATCACTGAACAGGAGTCACAGATGGTTGTGAACCTAGGTTTTCTGGAAGAACAGCCAGTGAGCTTAATCACCGAGCCATTTCTCCAGTCCCATAATTTGTGTTTTATTTGATTGGGGTAATAACTCTGCTCATGTTCATTTTTCTCTAAATTTGTTGCTAATACAACATATTTAAAAAAATTTTTTTTAGAAGAAGCATTTCATTACAGCTTTAACATACTCAATAACAGTTTCCATAGCAAAGATATATCTCTTTCAAAAGTGGCTATAAAATTTTTAGGTTCGCTGTTGAATTAATACAATTAGGAGACAATAAACAAAATTTAGAAATAACATTCCTTATAACATACCTGATCCAGCTTAGTTCTCTTTAGCTTCTGCAGTGTTCTATCAGAGGTTAAAACTTTTGAACTGCTGTGAGCTTCAAAATATTCTTCTACTAAGTCACTCTGAAAATGAACAGAATAAAGCAGTTTAAGTAATTTCGGATATTGGTATAATTTCAAAACTAGATAGTAATATTAGTAAAAATGTATGAAACAGCATACGTCAAGTTTTTTATTTTTATTTTTTAAATTATTTTGTTTTTTTGGTGGGGTTGTTGTTGAGCTAGGGAGGCCCAATGTTGCCCCGGCTAGTCTCAGGCTGGTAAATTTAAGAGATCCTCTTGCCTCAGCTTCCCAAGTAGCTGGGGAACATAAGTGTGCTACTATGCCCAACTAAATTATCTGATAGTATTGTTTTAAAGAGATTAAGGATCAAAGTTATTTAATTCCACCAATAAAACTGAGTTATTCTCAGAACAATATAAAATTAAAGTTCAAAAAATGACTAAGCAAAGTATTCTGTTCCTACAAAATAATTTATATATAGCAAAATATAATTTTCCACTTATGTTAAAAAAAGATTATATATCAGGACCTTTGTTTATCCTCAGACAATCCTAGTAAATAAATTCCTTTTTTTTTTTCTTCTTTGAGACGGTCTCCTGGTAGCTGTAGCTGTCCTGGAACTCCCTATGTAGACCAGACTGGCCTTGAACTCACAAAGATCCACCCGCCTCTGCCTCCAGAGTGCTGGGATTAAAGGCATGTGCACTACCATGCCTGGCCCAAGTAAATAAATTCTTTAATAAAATAAGTATTGATGAAGTATCATAAAGATAAATGAGAAAACAACAGCGAGATAGCTTCTGCTTAAAAAAAAAAAAAGACTTGGCAACAATCCCAAGAAAATGGATCACCTCATTTTTTTTGATTCGAGGGGGTAGCCAGGAAGAAATTGTCAACTATTCACACAGTACGGTTCCTGGACTGTTCTGAATCTTTACACAGAGCCAGGATAATTAGTTCATTGTCAACACAGGATAAAGTTAAAAGTGGTAGAACACACCTGTAAGTCTAACAATTGGGAACCTGAGGCAGGAAGATTGTTTTGCACTCAAGGCCAGCTTGTGCCCACAATATTATTCTAAATAATCCAACATGGATCAGCAATCACCTCACCTATTACTTACATCTTGAATACATCATCAAAGATACAAAAACAAACTGTATGAAAACAGATGTACTAAGAAGTCTTACCACCAGTTGTCCCATCAATATTATTTAAAAATTATTTTCACACAACTGAATTGAGATGTTACTTTTAGTGTATATTATAGTATCAATCATGAATATGCAGACAGGCCAAAAAAGAAAGCTAAAAAACAGAAACAAATATATGTGGGAATTCATGGATATAGCTGAGAAAACACAAAAAATAAAAGAAAAAAGACTGCTGTTTCCTGCTGTAGATCTGTTCTCCCAGTTAAGCTACCAAGGAGGTATTATACACATTTCTCCCCAAGGTTAAAATTTCTCTTCACGTACTGTTTTGTCTTTTTTCATTTTCTTAGGAGGTGTTCCTTTGGAAATAGAAGCTGAGAGTACTCTATTCTGAGTTTGAATCTTCTGATTAAGCATGACTGCATTAGTGTCTTCTTCATAGCTCTTTGCAACCCCTTCATCGTCCTCTGAATTGGAAGTGGAATATTCACTTTCACTGTCAGAATGAGACTTTGGCACTGTAGAAGGATAAAAGTAATTGGGAAAATTTGACAGCTTGAAAGGAAAGCTATTCGGGAGTAATTAAGAGTATGGGCTTTGAAGTGAGACTTTAAATTTGAGCTCTATCATTACCTGTTCATGACTTAATCATCATTATATAAGTATATTTATATATTTATAATTAAAATTATATACATTCTCTGAGCACCAGTTTCTACATTTATCAGATGTGGGTAAGCATATCTAAGCAACCTATAGGGAAAATTATATTGAAATGTATCTTTTGTGTAGGTGTGTGTATTGGGCATGCATGCATGAGGGGGTGGCACGTATGTGTGTGGGTCCCTGTGCATGCCATGTACTTGTGGAGGCCCAAGGTTAACATTATATGTCTTCCCCAATTGCTCTCCATTTTATATACTGAGGCAGGGTCTCTTGCTGAATTTGGGCTTGCCAGTTTACTCCAGGGATTCCATCTTGGTCTCCTGTGTTCCATGCTCACCCAGCTTTTTAAAAAATATTTTATTTATTATTATTTTTTTTATGTGTATGCATGTATTGCCTGCATATAGGTGAGTGCACCTGTGTCATGCAATGCCCTCGGAGGCAGAAGAGGCTGTCAGATCTCCTGGAACTAGAGTTACGGACAGTTGTTAGCTGCCATATGGGTGCTGGGATTTGAACCCGGGTCTTCTGAAAGAACAGTTAGTGTTTTTAACCGCTGAGCCATCTCTCTGATCTTCACCCAGCTTTTATATGGGTTCTGGGGATCTGAACTCCTAACCTCATGCTTGTATAGCAAGAGCTTTACCTGTTAAACCATTCCGCATCCCCTGCATGTATCTAAAGCAACTAAGAATATCTAATATACAGGAACCGTGGAAGAAAATGTCAACCTTACTTAATACCATTTCATCTTTTCACCTTGCTAAAAGAACTCCATCTTCGAATAGTGTAGTAATATGACCCACCATGTGGTAAAAATTACAGTAATCACTCTTTTCCCTCTGTCAAATACTTGCTTTCCCACCCTCCCTCCCTTGTGAATAGGTTGGTTATCTGACACTTTGACCACAAGTTTCTGGGAAAGAGTCTCTTCTCTTAATGAAATCCCCTACTTACATGAATAACAACACTGAAACTATTCTCCCATATGAAGACCCAGTCTCAAAGAGGAAAAATGCTGGTGACAACATAAAGATACAGAGAAGGTGGGCCCTTAATGATATTTGCTGAGTTGCTGTATTAGACACTTTATACTATGAGATACTTAGTTGTCTAGAGGTTAAATTACTACTGTAGACCATCTGTAGCTACATACTGAAAATGTCATCCTACCTGATCTAGTTATTGACTACTAACTGGCAGCTACTATACAACTATAGCACATACATTGCTCTATCCCAGAGCTGATTTAAGAACTATACTTTCTAATAAATCATAATCATTCCTACCACTTTCCCAGAAACAACAAAGTCAATTTTGTACTTCCCAAATAAAGACATAACTAGCTTTTTATTTTATTTTATTTTATTTTATTTTATTCTTTTGGTCTTTTTCAGACAGGGTCTTTCTACAGATTCAGCTGGCCTGGAACTCACAGAGATCTGCCTGCCTCTGCCTCCCAGTGCTAGGACTAAAGGCATGTACCACCAGGCCCAGATACATAACTAGTTTTATATTCAACAAGATAAACATGTTTAACTTCTAAACTGTGAAATAAGTTTAACCAAATCAGTATGTTTACAATAGAAGGATTCCAAAAAATTATGCAGTCAGCATAAAACAAATATGCATATTGAATAGACAAACAAGGGGCTAGAGAGATGGATCAGTGGTTAAGAACATTCACTGCTCTTGCAAAGCACCCAGGTTCAGATCCCAGCAACTACAAAGAGGCAAACTACTGTCCTGACTCTAGTTCCAAGGGATCTGATGCCCTCTTCTGACCCCCATGGGCACGGCATGACACAGGTACACTTACATGCATGCATGCAATACACTCATACACACAAAATAAAAATAATAATTTTTTTTGCCAGGCGTGGTGGCATATACCTTTAATCCCAGCACTTGGGAGGCAGAGGCAGGAGGATCTCTGTGAGTTCAAGACCAGCCTGGTCTACATAGTGAGTTCCAGGACAGCTGGGGCTACAGAGAGACCCTGTCTCAAAAAGACCAAAAAAAAATAAAAAAAATAAAAAAATAAATAAAATAAATAAAAAATAAAATATTTTTAAAAGAGAGAACTAGTTGCTTTTGCAGATGACCTTGGTTCAATTCCTAGCTCAATTCCTAGCACCAACACGGGGGTTACAACCATTCGTTACTTCAGTTCAAGAGCATCTGACACCCTCTTTTGGCCTCTGAGGGCACTGCATGCATGTGGTGCACTTACATAGATGTAGGCAAAGCACTCACACACATGAAAGAATCAAAATCAAAAACACTTTAAAAAGAAAAACAAAAGATGCCATTTTGTAGGCAGTCCTGCAGTCCATCCCCTTAAGGAGTTTGGGGACATAAGCATATCCTTTTGTTCATGAAGAGGTAGGAATAACAGTAATAATTGTTATAATAATAAAAGATAGGCCAGGCATGATGGCTTTAATCCCAGCACTTAGGAAGGAGAGGCAGGTGGATCTCTGTGAGATCAAGGCCAGATGAAGGTCTACATAGGGAGTTCTAGGTCAGCTGGGGCTACAGGGAGATCCTGTCCAAACAAACAACTTTTAAGCTTACAATAAGGTGAAATACTATTCTAAGTATGTTTAATGTGTCCTTTATTTTCTTTTTAAGAATATTTGGGGCTGGAGAGATGGCTCTGTGGTTAAGAACACTGAATGTTCTTACAGAAGACCTGGGTTCGAATCCCAGCACCCACATGGCAGCTAACAACTGTCCATAACTCTAGTTCCAGGGGATCCGACAGCCTCTTCTGTCCTCCGAGGGCATTGTATGACACAGATGCACTTACCCACATGCAGGCAATACACACATACATATAAAAATAATAAATAAAATACTTTTTAAAAATTTTACTATTTTTATTTTAAGTGTATTACTTGCATATAGGTATATGCAACTGTGTCATGCAATGCCCATGGAGGTCAGAAGACAGTGTTGTATTCCCCTGGAATTGGAGTTATGGATGGTTGTTAGCAGCCATGTGGCTGCTGGGAATCAAATCCAAGTCCTTTGCAAGAGCAGCCAGTGCTCTTAACACTGAACTCTCTCTCTAGCCCTGATGCCCTTTATTTTAATTAGTCCTCAAAAACAACTCTAAGGCTGGTCCCATCATTATGCCTAATATACAAATGAAAGACTGAGATACAAAGAACCAATGAGTGGGCCAGCCAAAGATTAAGGACCGAGTAGTTGATGTATAGAGCCTATATACTTTACCACTATTTGGATGTTACTTTTTAATAAAAACTTCACACAGTGGAGAATGCCTATAATCCCAGCTTTTGGAAGGCAGGAAATAGGACGGCCAAGTTCAAAGCCAATCACAGTCATATAGTGAGTATGAATCTAGCTTGGGCTACGTGAGACCTTGTCTCAAAAAAGCAGAACAAAAACAATCAAAAAAGAAACAACAAAACTTCATATAAAAAGAAATACATACCTATTACTCTTTTTCTTAGACTACGAGACGGTGTTGGCAGAGATTCATCTTTGTCATTGTTCTGTTTAAAAAATAAAAAAGCAAAATTAGCAATACAAAAAAGATTAATACCTGATCTGAGAGAAAAAGTCCAAAAAAAAAAATATTTGGTTTTCAGTAACAAAGAAATTTGCTAAAATGAAAAATGAAGTATATAACAACAAAAACAACCCAGTACTCAGAGGGCTGAGGTAGCAAAGGTGTGAATTTGTAGCCAGGCTGGGTGACGCCATGGCCAGACAAGCAATTACCAGGAGGAAGGCAGCCATAGGACTAGGAGACCGCAGACACTAACTCAGCAGCATCTTAATGACTGCTCTCTGCAGAGCTTCCAGACTTGCTTTTCCTGTGGGTAAAATAAAATCCTCTCCCTGCTCCTCTCAGAGACTCCTTTGTTCTATACTTTTTGTCTGCTTTTGCTTCTGCCCCATCATGCCTTGGGTACACTTGCTGTTACTTTTGTTCACTTTTCAGTTCCTATGACAGACAGGCTAAAAGAGAACATTCTGATACCATCTCTTTCCAAGTTCTTAAAATGTTTTTGTTTTTTTCTGTATTCCATATTCTCTAGATTATGGAGACCTAAATCCAAGTTACATGTGGTAAATTACAAAAAGGGCCTTCCTAATACAGACAGCCCAACTAATAGCCCTTTTTTTTTTTTTTTTTTTTTTTTTTTTGAGACAGGGTCTCCCTGTAGCCCCAGCTGGCCTGGATCTCACTATATTCATCAGGCTGGCCTTGAACTCACAGAGATCCTCCTGCTTCTGTCTCCCGGGTGCTGGGATTAAAGGCATGTGCCACCACGCCCAGCCTGATAGCCCTCTTAAATAGGGAATTTACCCTGACCACTACTGTGTGGGCATACTATACAGATTGAGGGCATACTATACATCTGAAGGGTCAAAGGGAACATTTAAGGAAAGTTTTAAAGACTAAACCAACAAGGAAACTGACACTCTCCCTGCCTCATATATCATTAAAAATTTGCTGGATTCCCTGACATGTGAGGATCATTATTTACTCCAGAGTTTTTCAATGGATGGTGAGTCCAACACAAGTAGGTTAAAATTTATTTAGCCAGATCTCCCCTCTCCCCGCCAAAATTCATCAAGGTCACAGGGAGTGGGAAGACAATGTCAGTAAAGGCAACAGAACCCGAAATGCCTTCTCCTCTCATGGTCATAGTGAAGGAAGGAAACACAGATTTCAGGTACGTGTGGCTAGACACATAGACTCCTCCTTTCCTCATGGTTGTTTATAACGGGACAAAAAGTAAAATGATCAGGGGATGCCCTGATGGAAAAAGATAAAGAAGAACCCAAACGATATCTCCTTTTGATGCTACATATGGATAATTGTCCATCATTTGTTTGATCCACAGCCCTTGAGAAAAAATGCCCATTTTTCTACTCTTGAGCCTGGCATAAATTTAAACTAGAGGATAAAAAGTGAGCTCACTTCCATGCCTAACTCAAAGGGCATGGCTCTCTCTCTTCCTCTTCTCCATCCCCCCGCCTCCTGACACCAGCTGAGATTTCCAGTTTGCCTATTTTGTTTTTCTTTTCTTTTATTACATTTATTTATTTCTATGTATGTGTCATAGTGCACATGTGGAGCTCAGAGGGCACCTTGCAGGATTGGGTCTCTTCTTCCACCATATGGGTCCTGGGGATTGAACTCAGGTCATCAAGTTGGCAGTAGGTATCTTTTGCCCATTGAGCCATGTCATTAGCCCTTGTTTTCTTTACACTCTAATAACTCAAAACATCTATGTCCAAATAACTTTCAGAAAATTACTGCCAACAAAATAGTACTTAGTAACTTCCCTATGTTACAGGAAATTTCTTCAAATGAATTATCTTTACATGCTCAGTTAAACAAACTCTTCTTTCATGAAGATAAAAGATTACTGTCTAGGACAAACAGCTTGTTTATCTTACCAAACAAGTTTCATGGTCAAGACAGTTTATCAAAAACTTCTTCCTCACTTTGTCCACCATTCCTTAAGTATTGTGATCCCACCTTGTTCAAAGGCTTTTTTTTTGAAACAGGGTCTCCCTGTAGCCTTAGCTGTCCTGGATCTTGCTATGTAGCCCAGGCTGGTCTAGATCTCAGAGATCCTCCTGCCTTTGCTTCCCAAGTTCTGGGATTAAAGGCATGCACCACCATACCTGGCTCAGTTTTTTTTTTCTGCATTGATATAATACACAAGACATGAAGCATTATTAAAAGCAATGACGGTTCTGATATACCTAATAATGTGCCTAAACAGGGTTGTGCTGCCCAGGCCATACACATGGTCTTGAATATCGATATTCACTTCTTACCCAAGGAACCCTCTTAACTAAGCCCAGGCATATCTAACTCTATGGTCATCAAAGGCTGGATAGATGCACCACTGACATATCCAATGCCATGACCAGTGGGGCTAACCAACATCTAAAGAGGGTAGTTTAGCAAGGCATAGTGTTTTTTCATTAAAACACAAAGATAAAAACTGCGAATTCCTTTCAGCTACCCTGGAAGATAACTAAACTAAATTAGTCAATTTATATTTTAGTATATACTTCATATTTTCAAATATAAAATTTATAAAATCATAGAATAATGGATTTAATGGATCAACCTTCCAATAAACAAGAGAACATTATATATAAACACAAAACCAAACTCATAATACGACTCCGCGATCAGCTCTACCAAGTTAAAAATACCCAGGGATAGCTGTATCACAGCAGAAAAAGCACATAACAGCTGGCTTCAGAAGACCTGGGCTCATTTTTCAGCTTTAGTCCTTCCAAGTGAGGTGAACTTAGCAAGTCATTTTACTTTTTGAACCTCAAACTCTTCATTGCATTATTTAAACTAAGAGATGACAAGTTAGTGTTCATTATGTCTTACTTTTGTTTTTGCTTTTTATTTAAAAAAATATTTATTATTTTTATTTTATGTGTATGAGTGTATTGCTCTTATGTATGTAGGTGCACCTGCAATACCCGTGGAGATCAGAAGAGGGTGCCGGATCCCCTGGAACTGGTGTCAGGGATGGTTGTTAGCCACCACATGGGTGCTGGGACTCAAACCCAGGTCCTCTGTAAGAGCAGCCAGTGCTCTTAACCTCTGAGTCATTTCTCCAGCCCCTTTGCTTGCTTTCTATCAACTGCTTACCTTCAGCTGAACTTTCTCTGAAGTAGAGTGCCCTAAATGAAACAAAAAGTCATTTATTATAAATATTTCACTTTGGATCATGATCTAGTTTTGTTGAAATCAAAGGTGGAATTTTTTACACAAAAGCCACCATATCTCATTGAGCTCTTTTTTAACAGCATCTCTACCAAGGCTAAATGATCAGTAATTGTTTTATGACTATTCCTATTACTGACAGCTATCCCCGCTTTTCTGGAGCAGTGTAATAAGAAAAAAAATTGCGTTTTTTCCATTTTTATTAGAAAGTACAGTTTAACAGTTTATTCTAATTGGAATAGATAATAAAGAGCAGCTCTATAATTTTCAACAAACCATAAAATTTCCAAACTCCAAAAGCCTTATTTCACAGTATAAGTCAAAGCCAAATCTTCCACGAGAAACTGGGTAAATCAAACAATGGGTCTTAAGGACTGTTTTCAGTTGGCCCTGTCAATGTGCATAATGTCAGTTGACACAGATTTTTTTCTTCTTTTATTTAATGGTGCGTATGAATGTATTAAAGTACATTGCAGTATTAATTGAATTCTGTTGAATGAATTTTCAGAGTAGAAAATAAGAAAATACATAAAAATTTACTTAGATAAGAAAAAAGGGAACATACACTAGAAGCAACTATGAAAACTCTTTCATAGAAATGAAATGACATCTTACCCTTGCTTTTTTGAGCAGTGTTTATCATAATTTCAGGATCATTCTTTAAGTCAAATGAAACATTTTTTCTTGGTGTTTCTGCTAGTTCTGAGGCTGTCATCAGAAAGAACAGAACAATTTCTACTGAGTAGCAGATACAGAGGGGAAGGGCCTTCATTTAGATGACTCTTAAAAACAGAAAACCTGCACATATTACTTTCATCAGAAAATTAAATAAATTGACCCATATTAAGAGTACTGCTTTTTAAAAAAGCTTTAAGGGATAGCTCAGTGGTTAAGAGCACTGGCTGTTCTTGAAGAAGACCAGGGTTTGAATCTCAGCATAGCAGCTAGTAACCATCTGTAACTCCAGTTCCAGGGGATCCAGTGCCCTCCTCTGACCTCCTCAGAATTGCATGACACCAGTACATTTACCTACATGCAGGCAATATACTCATATACATCAAATAAAGAATTAAAGCAACAACAATAAAAAAAAACTGTTAAGCTGTCTTTACAATTTTTTTCCAAAATGACATTTATTTATTGTGTACGAGTATATGGGCACACACATGCCACAGCACACATGTGGGGGTCAGAGTATGTGTGGAAGCCAGTTTTCTCTCCAAAATGTGGGTCCTGGGGATCAAATTTGGGTCATCACATTCTGTGGCAGGTGAATTTACCTGCTGAGTCATCTTTCTGACTCTTTCCTAGCATCATAAATCATTCAGTTATACACAAGTTTTCCAAAAAGCAAAGCAGAAAGAATTATACTCCTAACTCTGTCAACAACTTAAAACCTTCCACTTTTTTTTTCTTGATACTTTTTTTTTTTTCTCTTTTTGGGACAGCGTCTCCCTGCAGCCCCAGCTGGCCTGGAGCTCACTATGTAGACCAGGCTGCCCTTGAACTCAGAGAGATCCACCTGCCTCTGCCTCCCAAGTGCTGGGATTAAAGGTGTGTGCCACCACACTCAGCTTTGACACATTTTTTTCCTGTCCTCTATTTCTTATCATATATATTGGAACCATATCCTCACTAAGGGATAGAAGGGCAAGTAGTTGAGAATCTAATAACTAAGTGAAAACTGCACAATAAAAACTATATTTAAAAATTCTATTAAGTGTGGTGGTATTCTGTCTAAAATTCTGTAATACAAATGAAATATATGTAAAATATAACACAGTGTCGAAGAGATGGCTGTTTCTTTCGTTAAGAATCAGATGAAATAGTTGGCTTTTGTTTATGAGAAATTTCAGTGAAACATCTAGTCTTCACTTCAATGGTGCTTACATTCTCAGAGTATGACAGGCATGTGAAAAGGAGCCTAAATGAGGGACTAGATTTACACTCCCCAAATTTAACACCCATACAAAGGTGCATAATAGTTACATTATCATACTGAGAACTGAACTGCAAAAGCAGTATTACACACTCTTAAGTGCTGAGCCATCTCTCCAGCCCACATCTTCTATTTTTTCAGTAGAGAAAGAGTAGCTATATTTAAATGTAAGCCACTTTTTACCAGCTCATAAACCCTTCCTAACCCTGCTCCCATGTTTATCTTTAATCTTGGAACTGAGCTAAGATACTCATGACAAGTTCTACAAGTGCTTCTTTTTTTTCTTGATCTCCTTTTCTTCTATATAAATCACTAGAGTTTGTTTTGCTTTTTTATTTATTTACTTATTTTGGTTTTTTTGAGAGGCACATACCTTTGGTCTTAGCACTTGGGAGGCAGAGGCAGGCAGATCTCTGTGAGATTGAGGCCAGCCTAGTCTACATAGCAAGTTCCAGGCTAGCTGGGGTTACAGGGAGACCCTGTAACCTGTCTCAGAAAAAGAAAAAATTAAATCATGGCTGAATGTTTGATGCTGCATGACAGAGGGCTTCTTCAGGATTTTTGAGAGTTGATCACCATTTTGATTTTATAATCATCATGCCGAGAATTGCCATTTGGCATAAATGCTTACCACAAAATGGCAGAAGGATGTATAGGGCCATTTCAGGAATTGTGGGAAATTCTGTCCCAAGCCCAAATTCTTTTAGTGATTTTTTTTTTCTTTTTTTTGTCTTTTTGAGACAGGGTCTCCCTGTAGCTCCAGCTGATCTGGAACTCACTATGTAGACCAGGATGGCCTCAAACTCAGAGATTCGCCTGCCTCTGCCTCCTGAGTGCTGGGACTAAAGGTGTGTGTACCACGCCTGGCCTGTTTTGCTTTTTAAAAAAGTTTCCCTTGACTTTGATCAGAGATGCTTCTTTTTTGCAGTGGGCAGCAGTTATTAGAGACTAATAACTGGTCTAAGTGCTAGGAATAAGCAAATCTTGAATGCTCAGCCATAAATATATCACCCTCTCCAAAGCTCAGGGAATAGCTTTAAAGAGGGGACAGAAAAAAAGAGCTGGAAGCCAGGCATTGTGGTGCATACCTGTAATCCCAGCAGTTGGGAGGCAGAGTCAGGGGGATCTCTGTGAGTTCAAGGCCATCATGATCTACATAGTGAGAACAGCCAGGTCTATGTAGTGAGACCCAATCTCAAACAAACAAATCAAACAAACAAACAAATGAGCTAGAGAAAAGGGGTGGACCCTGGAATGCTGCGCAATGCTGTCATACAGGCATGATATAAATATGCTATGAACTTTCAGCAGCTATGATTACCTACATATAACCCGCACAAAATTGAACCCATCAACATTCTGTCATGGAGAATGCATATAGATAGGCAGATAGATGCATATATTAAGCACTGCATGGATCTTAGCATATAGTACTTGCTCAATAGTAACTTCTATCATTATTACAAAACCCAATAAAAAGCAACGTTTGAGCTGGTAGGATGGCTCAGTGGGTTAATGTGCTTACCACCAAGTCTGATGAGCTGAGTTGGATTCCCAGAACCCATGTGGTGGAAGGGGAGAACTGACTTTCTCAAGTTGTCCTCTGACCTCCATACACTCACTGTGGCATACACACTTGTGCCTCTCCACATACACACACAATCAATTTTTTAAATATTTTATTTATTATTTTTATTTTATGTGTATGAGTGTATTGCCTGCATGTATGTGAGTGCACCCATGTTATGCCAATGCCTTAGAGGTCAGAAGAGGGCTTTGGAGTCCCCTGGAACTGGAGTTAAGGATGGTTTATAGCCACCATGTGGGTGTTGGGAATCGAATCTGAGTCCTCTGCAAGAGTAGTTAGTGCTCTTAACCGCTGAGCCATCTTTCCAGGCCCCAGCACACAATTTTTTTTTTAAAGCAACTTTTGTTTCTGTTTTTATGTCTACTGACAGAATTACTGTTAATCTGTGAAGAACTATCTTAATCATTTGATATCCTTACTTTTCCATAGTAGGAGGTCAACAACTGATTGAATCATTTTCAAGGAGCAACACTTTCATCTTAAAAAAATTTGTTTTTATGTTTGAGTGCTATGCCTACATGTGTATAAGTGCACCCGTGTCATGTAGCACCCGCAGAGGTCAGAAGAGGGCATCCCTGGAACTGGAGTTATGGTTGGTTATTAGCCACCATGTGGATGCTAGGATACAACCTGGGTCTTCTGCAAGAACAGCTAGTGCTCCTAACTACTGAGCAATCTCTCAGAGTCCCACCTTTCCACTCTTATACCTTTCCACTCTTATGACCAACCCATCAATGCACATGTTTATATTGAGCCTGATCCCTGAGAATCTTTCTCACTATAACAAGTTGCGTAGTCCTAACCAAGATTGTCTAGCCCAGACAGCTAAAAGTATTTATAACCTGTCCTTCTAATCAATAAGGTCATTCTAGATAAAAGCCACATGCCATCCTACTCTACCAAAACATGTATCATCATTTCAATTTGTCCAAGATTCCATCTGTCATGTTCTCTAAGGTAAATTTCCCTTTCAATTTCTTCTCACTTCATGAGACATGACAGTTTCAGCTTTTCTGCCTCTAATTTGCAAACTGGAGCTATTTCTTTCCACTGTTTTTAACTTTTTGAGACAGAGTCTCCCTGTAGCCCTAGCTGGCTGAGAACTCACTATGTAGACCAGGCTGGCCTCAAACTCACAGAGATCCACCTGATTCTGCTTCCCAAGTGCTGGAATTAAAGGCAGGCACCACCATGTCCAGCCTATTTTTCTTCTTTAATATAATTTTTTTAACATTTATTTATTTAATGTGTATGCAGGTGTATCCTATGCTACTACTTGGCCTTATCCCCTTGGGAAGAGTCTTTTACTGAATCTGGCACTTGCCATAGTTTGGTTAGGGCTGGCTAGTCAGTGAGTTCCTGGGATCTGCCTTTCTCTGTTCCTCTCAATTTGGGGGTTACAGGTACATGTGGCCATTCGCAGCTTTTTGCATGGGTGCTGGGGATCCAATCTTAGGTCCTCATGCTTCTGAAGCAAATGCTCCTACCTGCTAAGCCATCTTCTCAGCCCTATGAATACTCTTTTTTCTTTTCTTTTCTTTTTTTTTTTTTTTAATATTTTACTATTTTTATTTTATGTGTATGAGTATGTTGCCTGCATGTATGTGAGTGCACCTGTGCCATGCAATGCCGCATAGATCAGAAGAGGGCTTTGGATCCCTCTGGAACTGGAGTTAAGGATGGTTTGTAGCCATGTGGGTGCTGGGAATCAAACCCGGGTCCTCTCCAAGAGCAGTCAGTGCTCTTAACCGCTGAGCCATCTCTACAGCCTTGAATACTCTTTTTTACATTTCTAGATATCTGGTCTAGGGACAAAATAAAATAATGCTATTATGTAATGCTTTCCTACCTTCTTATCTCAAATTCTCCTAAAATTTATCAAATCAATTATACGGCCCACAGTACATAAATTTTTTCTTGTTCAAAAGTATAGAAGTTAAGAATAAATGTTGTGTCTGAAATCCCAGCACTTAGGTGGCAGAAAAATCAGAATTCCAGCCAGCATGTGGTACAAACCAAAATCCTATTCAAAAACAAAACAAGGGGCTGGAGAGATGACTCAGTGGTTAAAAGCACTGGCTGTTCTTCCAGAGGACCTGGGTTCAATTCCCAGCACAAGGCAACTAAAAAATACTGGTAACTCCAGTTCCAGGGGATCTGACACCCCTTCTGGCTTCTTCAGGCACTGCATGACATGGGCTCACTTACATACATGTAGGCAATACATTCATACACATAAATATAAAAAGTGAAACATCAAAAAAACAAAACAAAACAAAACAACAAAACAAGGGCCAGTGAGATGTTTCATTGGCTAAAGGTACTTTCTGCCAAGTCTGATAGCTTGAGTTTTATCCCAGAACCCACATGGTAGAGACTCATGAAAGTTGCCCTCTGGCCTCCACATACAAATGCAATCTGAAAAAACCAAACCAGCTGGGCATGGTGGTGCACAATTTTAATCCCAGCACTCAGGAGGCAAAGGTAGGCAGATTTCTGTGAGTTCAAGTCCAGCCTGGTCTACACAGTGAGTTCCAGGCCAGCTGGGGCTACAGAGACCCTGTCCCAACAAACAACCCCACCCCGCAAAAAAACCTATGGCCCAACCCAACCAAAACTAACCCAACCAAAAGCCAAACCAAAAAACCCAAAGAATAAATGTTTAGGAAATTGTTTTTGTTTTGTTTTCTTTTGAGACAGGGTCTCCCCATAGCCCCAGCTGCCCTGGAACTCACTATGTAGAGAGGGGCCACCAGAATAGCCTTGAATTATGCTTCTCAAGTGCTGGGATTAAAGATGTATGGTGATGGACATGGTGGTCACACCCAGACATTGTGAATTACCCAAGCCAAGTGGCACATCTACAATGCAACCTCTACACCTAAGGCTCATGGAACATAGAACAAGGGATAAAGACGACACTAATGCATCTCTCAGTTCTCATCAATGAAGCTCCCTGAAACAACAGAGGGCCAGGAACACAAAAGGTCACAAATGGCCAAAGCATGGAAAGTAAGAGTCTACAGAGTGTGGGTCCTTGGACAGGACTCTTATGTTAAACTCCACCCACCCAGGGCTTAGGGACCGTTGTGGAATAGGGGGCAGAAAGACTGTAAAAGCCAGGGAGGAGATGCACAACCATACAGAAATAGAGCTCTACAGACTCCTGAGATCTTGCTCATATGAACCTATAGCAATGGTGTTAGCATGTATAAGACCTATGCAAACTCAAGCAGACAAAATCCCAGCACAGGACTGTGGAAATGGACAGCAGGCCCCAATCTTAGTTGAAGAATTATAGGAGGCTGATTATTCCTGGGTGAGGAAGAACTGATCTTCTTTTAAAGGGAGGAGCTCTAGATAGGCTGCCCATACCCTAGTCAATGAACTTGCACTGGGGGACGTCTGGGGACACTAACACAAACAACAGAATGTATGAATTCCAGTGTGGTGGGGGCTATGGGAGGGTGCCAATGGGGAAGGGGATATAAAGATGATTAAGATGTTTGGCATGAAATACACAAAAATTCAATTAAAAATTTATATATACATATAAAAAAATAAGAAGTGCCTCATTTCCTAATTTTTTGGTTTTTCTTTTTTGAGGCAGGGTCTCCCAGTAGTTCCAGATGGCCTAGAAAACACTATGTAGACCAGGCTGGCCTGGATCTTACAGAGATCCACCTGCCTCTGAGCCAGAACTAAAGGTGTACACTATGATACCTGGCTTCATTTCCCAATTTTCAAGGAGCATTTCATCATTCTTTTAGGGAATATAATGAAATGATAATCATGGTGAATGTATTACTTTATAATAACCATAGAAACCAGAAAAGCAACATACCTAATTTAGCCATCTTTCCTGAGTGTTTTCTATGTTGAAAAGAATAAACTTTATTTCTACCATCTATAGTAGAGCCATTTTCCAAGGAGTCTGAAAAAGAAAATGTAACATGTATTTAGGAATATGCAACAAAGTTAAGAAAAAAAGACACAATTTTAAATAACTAAAAACTAAAATTCAAGCCAGGCATGGTGGCACATGCCTTTAATCCCAGCACTTGGGAGGCAGAGGCAGGTGGATCTCTGTGAGTTTGAGGCCAACCTGGTCTACATAGCAAGTTCTAAGCCAGTTGGGGCTACAGGGTGACCCTTTCTCAAAAAGACCAAAACAAACAAACAAACAAACCCTAAACTTCAGACCCCCTCACTGCATTACATAAAAGTTAACCAATTAGTATAAACAATATTCTAATATACACAATAAGGAAAACAGATGGATCTTGTTTATTTAAACTTTAACACAAGAAATACGCTATTTACAGATGCAATGATTTTTCTCCAGACTAGACAGATGAATAGACTGTGAGAATTAAATTAAATGTCAAAATGTATGTTGTAAAAGATTAACAACATTCTTAAAGGCTGTCTTGATCAGTTTTCTGTTACCATATCAAAATGAAATCCCTAAAGCTGGGTGCTTTACAAACAAAAGACCTTTATCTAGCTTACAGTTCTGGGCATGGAACTGGCATGTACTCCTCTGATGAAAATTCCTTTGTGTAATATGGTACAGCACATCATGGTGGACGTTCAGTATAATAAAAAAAGATCACATGGCAAGTCAGGAAATTTATGAGCAATTCAGGTGACTGACTAGCCTTTAATCCCAACACTTGGGAGACAGAGGCTAGCGGATCTCTGTAAGTTCAAGGCCAGCCTGGTCTACATAGTGAGTTCCAGGCCAGCTGGGGCTACAGGGAGACCCTGTCTCAAAAAGACCAACCAACAAACAAAAAACAAAACGAAACCAAAATAAAAACCAAGTAATATATCAAGCAATAATTCAACATCTCTATATCCAAGTTTCAACATCTCTATGCCCAAGTTTGGACTTGGAATGATTTTTTAAAATTATTTTTATTTTATGTGTATGTATGTATTACCTGCATATATGTAAGTGCACCTATGTTGTACAATGCCTGCAGAGGACAGAAGAGGCCATTGGATCCCCTAGAACTGGAGTTACGGATAGTTGTTAGTTGCCATGTGGGTGCTGAGATCTGAATCCGGGTCTTCTGCAAGAACAGCCAGTGCTTTTAACCGCTGAGCCATCTCTCCAGTCCCAGACTTTTATCTTATAGGTTCTTTCCAATGAAATCATAAGATCACAATGAATCACAATTTTAGCAAGGCATGATGGCACATGCTTGTCTTAGCCACTTTGAGAGGTTGAGGATAGAGGATCACTTGAGTTTAGGTGTTTAAGAACAAACAGCCTGGGTAGCATAGCAAGATTCCATCCCAACTAAACAAGGCAGCATCCATCTAAAAAGCTGGGCCTGACCACATACTTAGTCCCATCACCCATACTGGGTACCCCTCCTTTGCTGCTGTGGGGGAACTATAAACTATTTCTTCTGTGTATGTTTGGCCCATCTTTGTTTTTATTTAGAATCCTAACTGACTGGGCTGGGGAGATGGCTCAGAAGTTAAGAGCAATTATTGCTCTTTCAGAGGACCCATGTTCACTTCTCACGTGCCCACACTGGGCAGCTTACAACCTCTGTAACTCCAACTATACAGGAATCCAATGACTCTGTCCTCCATGGGCACTGGCACACACATAAACACACATGTACACAGTTTAAAAATAATAAAAATAGCAGGGTATGGTGGCACATTCCTTTAATCCCAGCACTCTGAAGGCAGAGGCAGGTGGATCTCTGACAGTATGACACCACACTGGTCTACATAGCAAATTTCAGGCCAGTTGTGGCTACAGGGAGACCCTGTCTCAAAAAACAAAGAACAACAACAAAAAAAATCCTAAAAAAGTTAAAATACAAAATAATACAAGTTTATATGCACAGACTGATAGAAGGAACACACCAAAACGTAAATAGTTCTATATTCCCTAAGTAAGCATTCATTTTTGGTTGTTTTTGGTATTGGGTATTCAATCTAGGGACCAAGTATGCTATTCAGGTGCGGTATCACTGAGCTATACTCTCAGATCTTTTTTACTTTTTTGTTTGTTGGTCTTTCTGAGACAGGGTCTCCCTGTAGCCTTGGCTGGCCTGGAACTCACTAAGTAGACTAGGCTGGCCTCCAACTCACAAAGATTCACCTGCCTCTGCCTCTGCCTCCCAAGTGCTGGGATTAAAGGAGCGTATTACCACGCCTGGCTAAAAAGCTATTTTCTTTTCTTTTTTAAAAAATTTTTATTTATTATTTTTATTTTATGTGTATGTGTGTATGGCCTGCATGTAGGTAAGTGCACCCGTGTTGTACAATGCAACGGAGGTCAGAAGAGGGCTTCGGATTCCCCTGGAACT